ATACAAGGAATATTTTTGTTAAAGATTTTAACCCTCGAGCGAGACAATAAAGGGGTCATTTCGGTCCTTTTTTAAAAATATGGCTAAAAACTCCCCTTGAAGGGGAGTCTTTTGGAAATTTAAGATTCCTTGGTATCCGTGCATTTTAGATGTACAGTGTCTTTGGCAATATTGTAGATAACAGCCCGAAGAATTTTTGGTGGGGTTTTTTAAACCTCGGGCGAACCAAAAAAGTGGTCTTTTTGGTCCATTTTTAAAATTATTATTAAAAACTCCCCCTAAACCTGATCCTAGCAAGTCAAAATATTCCACAAAATTATTTGTCATAAAAATCTACTATAGGTCCCAGAAGACATGAAAACCCCTAAATCTTATTTATATATAAAGAAAACACGCTTGAGGGTTAATGCCTCAATTTATTTGAGGCTTTTGCAAAATGTCGAATTAAGATTCCTTGGAATCCGTTCATTTAAGCTATATAGTGTCTTTGGAAATATTGTAGATTAGAATACAAGGAATATTTTGGTTGAAATTTTTAACCCTCAAGCAATCCAACAAAGTGGTCTTTTTGGTCCATTTTAAAAATATTATTCAAAATTCCCCCTAAGCCTGATCCTAGCAAGTCAAAATATTGTACAAAATTATTTGTCATAAAATTCTACTATAGGTCCTAGAAAACATCAAAAGTCTGAATCTTACCTAAACGCTATAAAATCATATTTATCAAAAACACATTTTAGGGTTAAAGCCGCAATTTAGGTGAGATAATGCAGAAATCTCCAACAAAACATTATTGTAGAAGGACGATGTCAAAGCTAAAAATATTTTTGATCGAATTTCACTATAAGTTATCAAAGAAAATAAATTTTCTTTAACCCTCTAGCGAACCAAAAAAGTGGTCTTTTTGGTCCATTTTTTAAAATATTATTAAAAACTCACCCTAAACGGGATCCTAGCAAATCGAAATATTCTACAAAATTATTTGGCATAAAATTCTACTATAGGTCCTAGAAGACATCAAAAGTCTAAATTTTACCAAATTCCCAGGAAGTCATATTTATCAAAAACAGATTTTAGGGTTAAGACCGCACTTTATGTGAGTTTATGCAACAATCTCCAACAAAGAATAATTTTAGAAGGATAATGTCAAAGACAAAAAGATTCCTCATCGAATTCCACTATAAGTCTCAGAATATACCATATATCTTAGTACAATGGCTTCTATGAAAATTATAATCGAAATTTATGTACTACAAGAGAAAAAAAATGTGTTTGCTTTTTTACTGTTAATTTAACATACCTTATATGAATTTATGTAAAATTCTCCTACAAAGCACCATTTTACAAGGATGATGTCAAAGACAAAAATATTCTCCATCGAATTTCACTATAAGTTACCAAAGAAAAGAAATCTTTATTTTCATTATATATCAAGAGAAAATTTGTTTTAATTTTGGGAAAAAAACAAGTAAAAATATTTTTCTATTTTTTAATCCATTTTTCCTGGGACTTTTATGTTGACGCCTAAAAGTAACATAAAATTTCGTTGTATGACGAAGGTGTCAAAAGATGGAATATTCAACACAAAATTTCACCATAAATCTCAGAATAAACCATATATCTAGGAACAATGGCTTTTAAGAAAATTACGTTCGAAATTTATGCTACTGAAAATTATGTGTTTGCTTGTTTTACTCTTAATCTAACATAGTGATGTAAAATTCTCCTACAAAATATTATTTTAGAAAGATGACCTCAATGAAAAAATATTCCTCATCGAATTTCACTATAAGTCGTAAAAGAGAAGAAATTTCTATATCCACCGCATATCAAGAAAATATTTCTTTGAATTTTGCCCAAAAAGGAAGAATATCTCCATATTTTTTTAATCAATTTTCCTGAGACTCTTTCGAGTTTATACCCCAAAGTAACATAAAATTTTGTTTTAGGCGGAAGATGTCAAAAGATGAAATATTCTACACAAAATTTCACTGTATGTCTCAGAATAAACCATACCTCTATGTACAATGGCTTTCATGAAAATTAGATTCGAAATTTATGTACTAGTGTTTGCTATTTTTATTGTTAATTTAACATACCTCATATGAATTTATGTGAAATTTTCCTACAAAGCACAATTTTACAAGGATGATGTCAAAGACAAAAATATTCTCCATCGAATTTCACTATAAGTTACCAAAGAAAAGAAATCTTTATTTTCATTATATATCAAGAGAAACTTTGTTTTAATTTTGGGAAAAAAATAAAAGTATTTTCCAATTTTTTAATCCATTTTTCCTTGGACTTTTTTGTTGACGCCTGAAAGTAACATAAAATCTCGTTTAAAGCGAAAGGCGTCAAAAGAAAAAATATTGTACACAAAATTTCACCATAAGTCTCAGAATAAACCATTTATCCAGGTACAATGGCTTTTAAGAAAATTACGTTCGAAATTTATGCTACTACTAGTGAAAATTATGTGTTTGCTTGTTTTACTCTTAATCTAACATACCTCATATGAAGTGACGAAAAATTCTCCTACAAAATATTATTTTAGAAAGATGACCTCAAAGAAAAAAATATTCCTCATCGAATTTCACTATAAGTCGTCAAAGAGATACAAATTTCTATATCCACCACATATCAAGAAAATATTTTTTTGAATTTTGCCCAAAAAAAAAAAAAAAAAAAAAAAAACAAAAATATCTCCATATTTTTTTTAATCGATTTTCCTGGGACTTTTTCGAGTTTATGCCTCAAAGTAACATGAAATTTTGTTTTAGGCGGAAGGTGTCAAAAGTTGAAATATTCTACACAAAATTTCACTGTAAGTCTGAGAATAAATCATACCTCTAGGTACAATGGCTTTTATGAAAATTACATTCGGAATTTATGTACTACTAGTGTTTGCTTTTTTACTCTTAATGAATATACCTCATATGAATTTATGTAAAATTCTCCTACAAAATTTGATTTTAGAAGGATTACGTCAATGACGGAAATATTCTTCATCAAATTTCACTACAAGTTAGCAAACAAAAGAAATCTGTATTTGCACTGCTTACCAAAAAAAATTCCATTAAAAGACGAAAATATTCTCACTTTTTTTATGAAAAATAAAAATTTTTTTGGCAACATTGGTACAATTTTTTTTATGATACATAATGGAAATAGAGATTTCTTTTCTTTGGCGACTTATAGTGAAATTTGATGAGGAATACTTTTGTCTTTGACGCCAACCTTCTGAAATAATGCTTTGTTGGAGATTTTTGCACAGACTCAGATAAATAAATTTTAATAAATATGGTAAGTTTGAGAATTGAGAATTTCATGACGAACATATTTGTAGAATAGTTTGTCTTTCTATGATCCCGTCTTAAGGGAGTTTTCAACCATTTTTTTTTTTTTTTCAAAATAAAAAAATTACCAAAAAGACCCCTTTGTTGATTCGCATGCGGGTTAAAATTATGAACCAAAATAATCCTTTTATTGTTACTGCAATATTGCCGAAGACGCTATTTACTTGTAATCAACAGATTTAAGGGAATATTAACTTGAAAATTTCCAAAAGTATGGAAGAGGGGGGAAATTTCCCCCTCTATTTAAGTTACTTTGTGATATAAACTTTCAAAACGCCGATACACTTGTCTTCTTTTTTAGCTCTACTTTCATAATCTGCAGTTTTTCCCCGTAATTATTGAAAAAAAATTGAAATTTGTCGCCCTGAACCAAGATTTTGTCGAATTATATGTATTTTCAAAATCATAGTCCAATCTTTCTGGCATGATGATTAAATATTTTAAATACTTAAAGACCAATTTCCCAAAAAAAATGTGAAGTTAGTTCCGGTTTAAGAATTCCGATTAAATACCTTAATCGTACTTTCAACAGAATATGCCTCACAATGATATTTGGGGCTTTTAACCGCCTTTTGTATATTTCCCGTGTGAAGGTAGACGCAGTTGTAGTTACCCCTTTCAAAAAACATTTTTCCAACTGATTTGGATATTATTTAAGATTTTCAAATCCTAGAGGTTTTCAAAGATAATAGAATTTACGAATAAAAAATCCATTTTCAAATGTCCATCTCTAAAATCTTATCTCAAGAAAATCATTAATGTTCGATGTTTGAATCAAACCTGCTGCATGCACAACAAATGGTTTGAACATCTTCATTTTTAGTTAAATGCTCAACAGGACATTTGTTTGTATGTATTGGTGTGTGCAATATCAAATATTTAGAGGAAATGGTTATTTAAATTATAAAAAATGTAATAATATCACTTATCTTGAGATTGTAATTTATTATTTTTTATATACTTGGTGAAATGTAACGATTTAAGAAAAATCTTAAACCTGTTTACACAAAAATTTTACCTAAGTTAGCTATTCAAAATATAAATTTGGACATTTCTTTTAATGTGCGTTTGAAAATTCTTACCAAAAAATATCTTCTTGGTACTTTTGTTCTTATTCCGTTGTGGATATCCTTTGATTTACTAATTATTAGCCATTTTCTCCTTGGCACTGGTGAAATAATCATAAATTAGCCTTCTAATATTAAAATATATTGATTGATTTTCTAAATTTTGTTGGTATTTTTTGTTTCATTGTGAACAACATCACCATATATTTTTAAAATTCGCCCTCAAAACCAGCGGATTAGGCTTAAGATTTAAATATGAGTGTATTCCATAAAGTATTATAATCTAATACTTTATTATGAATAAAACGACCACAATTGAAGACTTTTTTGCTATATGACACATTTCTAATGTTAAAGTTTTTAATAATAACTTAACATTTTAAAAGACAACTTAATTCCCCGCCAACAATTATGCCTTTCCATTCATTCAACTAATATTTTTCATATCTGGCAACATTTCTATCACCAGCAGACGGTGTGATATCATTTCAGTTGCATGTCAGACAAACACAAAGAAGGAAGATGAAGCAAGCATTAATTCACTTTGAATTGAACACTGATAAAGAGGCAGCTGCACTATCGATTACAGTGTCATCGATTGGTCGGCAGCTCTAGTTAATTGGCGAATGCAGTGATTGGAACTATTTTTAGAATTTTCATCTCTTTTTTTCCACTTTAGTGTCCAAATAAAGTGCACTTTTCTCTGATCCATATAGCGGGAGATAACCACCCCCACGCCGGCAAATAATCTCTCGAAATGGTGCACAAATGTGAAACTCCCAATTGTGGCAAAGAGGCAACGTTGCAGTGTCCAACGTGCTTGAAAATGGGAATTCCTGGTTCCTATTTCTGTTCGCAGCCATGCTTTAAGGGTTTCTGGAAGGAGCACAAGCTAATTCATGCTTTGGCTGGTAAGAGATAACTTAATATTAAAAATTGTCCCCCAATCAATAATTACGTTATGTTATTGTAGAAGGCGCCGCCAAACCCAAAGCCAACGAAGACGATGGCGGCTATAACCCATGGCCTCATTACCGTTTTACCGGCAAATTACGTCCATCTGAAAAAACGCCAAAGAGGCCTGTACCTGAAAGTATAGAACGTCCAGACTATGCTGATCATCCTCAGGGTAGGGCTGCTTCCGAGGAAGCCATGCGTGGCAATACTTCCATTAAAGTCCTGGATGACGATGAAATTGAAGCCATGCGTTTGGTAGGTCGCTTGGCCCGCGAATGTTTAGATGCCGCCGCCCAAGCTGTCGATGTTGGGGTAACCACAGATGAATTGGATCGTTTGGTACATGAAGCAGCCATTGAAAGAGACTGTTATCCATCACCTTTAAACTACTACAATTTCCCCAAGTCATGTTGTACCTCAGTCAATGAAGTAATTTGTCACGGCATACCTGATCTGAGACCCTTAAAGGATGGCGATATTTGCAATATTGACGTAACCGTCTATCATCATGGATTTCACGGCGATTTAAATGAAACATTCTTTGTGGGCAATGTTTCGGAGAAACACAAGAAGTTGGTGCGAGTAACCTATGAGGCATTGAGCAAGGCCATTGAATTGGTTAGGCCCGGTGTTAAGTATCGTGAAATCGGAAATGTTATACAAAAGTATGTTGCACCACATGGCTTCAGCGTAGTCAAGAGTTATTGCGGTCATGGCATACACAGACTATTTCACACTGCCCCGAATGTGCCTCATTATGCGAGTAAGTACAAAGTTGAAATTTGTGGTTGTAATAATTGAAAGCAATAAGCGATTTGTAACATGGCAGTTAAAAAAAAGTGTTTTGCCTTAAACGTTTTTTTCGGGGCCCTAATAAGGTTCAACAGATTTTTTGAATCATACAATAATTGATTGTTTTTATATGTTTTATCAAAACCTGTTGCATCTTAGTAAGGCGAAATTTGCATAAAACATAACGTCACTACATACAGAAATTCTAATCTTCATACGTTTTTTTAACGAGCGATACATTTTTGTGTGCTTTTGAAGATCTTTGCAATTTAATTTAGAGCAAAAACGTCGCCTTTTCCATACTTTTGAAATGGGGATTAATCATTGAATTTTTAATTTACCTTTTAGAAAATACGGCTGTTGGTGTCATGAAAGCCGGCCATACCTTTACAATAGAGCCCATGATTTCCGAAGGCGTTGCCAAGGCGGAACAATGGCCGGATGATTGGACTGCAGTCACAGCTGATGGCTTGTATTCAGCACAATTTGAGCAAACTCTGCTGGTAACAGATAACGGTTGCGAAATTCTGACAAGACGTCGTGAGAAAAACGGCCAGCCATGGTTTATGGACAAAATGTAGACCACAGACATACAAATCGTTTTTGTACATTTTACACATCAATTGTTTTGTAATTAAAAAAGCGTAAATGCCGTTTTATTTTACATGAAAATTGTTAAATTGTTTTATTTATTTACATGCTAACCTTAAATTAAATTAGATCTAAAGGAAGGTATTCCACCATTTACTTCTCGAGAGGAGCATAATTCAGCAATTTTTCAATTAAATCCACATGACCCAACAACATACGACGACAGCAGTAGCGTTTCAAACCCAGGGCATCCAAAGCGTCACTGAAAATGAAACCTTGCGTTATAAGATTTTCTAGAAATCATTGTGGCTCGTCTTACCCCTCAGTGTATTCCGCTTGCAGTAAGCCCAGATACGACTCCCATTTATTGCCAATAACTTTGCCACATGTGAAACAGCGAATGGGAATAATCATGTTGGTTGTTAAATATTTTTAGCGGTGTTTTTTTCGGAAAAAAATAGTAAGTTCAAGCGTGCAAGTAAACGTGCGCTATTTTAACACAAAACAAATGGTGACGTAGGGATCTGTAAGTCGACTTTTGATTAAATGTCAAAGTTGCCGTTTCAGTTTGTAATCGAAATCGATTACAATCTGTTGGGTTAATGCATAAAGTAGAGTACGCACTATCAATTTTGAATAATTGTTTTGCACAAAAGATCGATTGTTACCGTCCAGCTCCAGCCCGATGCAAACGGACATCATCCTGGATTTCAAACTGCCACTCAATTTACGAAATTAATTTGAAAAACATGAACTATTGCAAAAGTGATAAGGAAAAAATTTAAAACGAGTAAATAATTGATATGTATATGTACCTGCAAGAATTTTGCAATTTTCTTCGATGTCATAAAGGAAAAATAGGTTAGTAGTAAAAACTAACATTTTTGCAGTTCTGGAACAGACTAAATGTTGAAAATGTCGCTCAAAAATTGGCATATCAATTCTGAATCAGAGCAAATTTTGATAAAATTTGAATTTATACTTGAGTGTTTTTTTATCTATTAGAATTAAATTCGGCGAATTAACTTCGACATTCTCCTAAGTACAAATGCTTGTTTTTAATAAATTAAATAAATAAATAATTGTTTCTTTTATTATAAATTAAAAAAAAAAAACTTAAAAATTAAATTCGAAAATATCGTTAAAAATTTGGTTTATAAATTTGAAGTCTGTTCAGTTTTGAATCTCAACTGTCTATTTTTGTTCTTCGTTTGAACTTAGGTAATGTTGGGGTTCTTGTTCCTCTTGCTGCTGCAGTTCGTCCATTTGTTGTTGCAGCTGCTCTTCGGCCGATTCTGATGATGTTGAAACCTCGAAGAGTTCGTCATGGGATTGGGCCTCATCACTCGCTTCGGCATTATCAACGTATTCAATGGAGCTCTTGCTGATGTCGTCGGAACGTTTTTGCAAACGGGCCTTTAAAAGAAAAAAATTAAGAGAGATGTTTTTAGCTGTGAACTTTTTTGTTGAAAAAATAATCTGAAGGCTTACCTCTTCATCGGGAACAAAGATGCGCAGTGGTGTATCGGCACCTAATTGTTGTTTAACCAAACGTTGATGCTCTTCGAAAGCTGAGGCAGCTGGATCTAATTGTTGCTGTTGCAAAGCTTGTGGGTGATTTTGTTGCCCAAATTGTTGCTGTTGTAGTTGTTGGAAATGTTGTAACTGCTGTTGTTGCTGCAACTGTTGTTGTTGCAATTGCTGTTGTTGTTGAATCTGATGCTGTTGGAATTGTTGTTGTTGCTGTTGTAATTCCTCATACTGTTGTCTTTCAGCCTCAGCCTGCTCCTCTTCAGCATAGGCTTGCAGTAATTGACTGGAATCCTGATGAGCATTGCCGTAGTAGTTTGACACAACAAATCCAGCTTCAGTCGTCGATGTTATGGCCGATGGTGGTCCTGCAACGTTTTGCAAATGGAAGGGTGCCGTTTCCAGTGATTGATGTTCTTGGTCCAGAGCTGGAGCTGCAATTAGAGCGGCAAAATGCGGTGCCACATCTAAGACAGCCTGATTACTGCTGTGCAAATCCTTGGCAGCCTGTAAAATTTGTCCATTGCTGGCCACCTCTTGGGTCAGATCGGCATTCACATAGCCTGCCTCCACAACGGGTGCTGCCTCGACGGGCTTAAACAATTGCTGTTGATGTTGGGTATAGAGATTATTCGATTGAGTAACCAAATAAGTGGGATTGTAAATCGGGATGGGAGCTGGTTGGACGGCAGCAACATTGGCGGCAACGAGGGGTTGAGTAAATTGTATGGGATAGATTTCGGGAACAATCTGTTTGGAAACCTGGGCACCGACGATCTGCACCAAAGGTTGGGCAACTGGCAATTGATTACTTTGAATATCAGCCGGCAATGGTTTGCCATTGCTTGGCGTATTGAAAGGTTCAACGGCTGGACGGATTTGGGGAGCGGGCAACGATGGATCCGGATCGGGAGCATAGTATTTCTGCGAACCAGAGAAGTTATCCACAATAGTTTGGTCGTTGGTGTTCTCCTCTACAACTTGGTAGTTGTTTTGCTGTTGGTGATAAACTTGTGGTTTGGGCGATGATGAAGTGGGTGGCAAATAGCTTTCCTCGGGATGCAAATGGTTGTCTTGCAACGACAGATTTGGGGCGGGGATTGTGTGAATGGGATCAAAGTGATCGGCAATGAAGGTTGTGTGGTGTTCCAACTGAAAGGAGAGAAGTTTTTTTTTAATTTGGTTTTCTTTTATAAAACATGAGGGAAACTTACCGGCAAATGCTGCACCTCTGAACTGGCAAAGGAAATGGGCTTCTCATACTTGAAGGGCACATCATAACTGGTGGCCGGTTTGTGAAGATTCAATGGCTTGAGCTTAGCACCATTCAATTTAAGCTTCAATGGTTTACGCATCAAACTGGGATTTTTCAAATAAATTGGTGAGGACAACTTAATGGGCCTGGGGTGGGCCCTGTGATGATGATGTGAACTGGCCGCAGCATTGATGTGATGATGAATGTGAGCGTGTGGCGCATGAGTGTGGGCATGATGTTGGTGAATTTGATGGGCATGGGAGTGACCCAACTTTGGACGACCTTTCAAGACCAATTGACTAGGTTCATCGCTGCGTATCTGGACAACTAGGGTTTTCTGTTTCGAGTTGGGAGATCGCAAAAACGACGTCTGCTTGCCGCTCTTCAAGGGTACATTATAGAAATAGGGAGATTTCTTACTCAATGGTGGCTCGCCCAATGCAAAGGCCAGTAAGGCAAAGAACAGCAGGGTTAAGTAGAAGGGCTGAAATGGTAAAAAGAAATAAATAAATTTGTTAGAGGGCTCATTTTTTGGATTTATGTCTAAATTATCATTAGATAAGTTTACTTGCGGCAAGTCTCTGTTTTGTAGGAGCAAGAGGCAAAGGTAGTGAGAAAACAGAAAAAGCAATTGTGTAAAACCAAAATTGATGAAAACAAATTGCCTTGCATGCGATTTCCAAAGTAAAGACGAAAAGAAAAGGCTTAAAATAATTGCTTGATCAGATGTAAATCACTGGAAGGAGAAGAAGAAGAGTTGCAAGTGATTGCAAGAAGAAATTTGTCCAGCAAGAATTTGCAAACTCTCAGAGTAAGAACTGTAAGAACTGTCACAATCTCTCTCTCTCTCTCACCTATTAAAATACCCCTCATTGGTTGTAATATTTTGTCTTTTAGATCAGTTGTTATCCATTTTTGGGATTAAATAAAAAATAAAAAAAGTTTATTAATATATTTTCTTTCTTCCCAACTTTACTACTTAGTCTAGCCAGCCTGCCTATGGTTTGTAACGATTATCTACTTTCTAAAACAATATGAAATACGAAAAACAACATATTTTGGATGTTAGCAAAAACAACAAAAGCAACAAAGTGGTAATCCAACAGAGGAATAACAACAAATAGTAACAAAAAGTACTGCTGCTCTGCAATTAAATCAATAAATTTCTTAATTATAAATAGCCACACTCGCTTAAGCCCAAAACGGCCGATAAAACGAAAAAAAGCGAATGTCAAAGCAAAAGTGTGTCTGTGGCTTGTGCGCTTGGGCATTGGAGAGATATGGAAGCGATACCAGTGAATTGTGGCCATAGATGGATGAAACATAAAATCACGTAGCATTGATTGTTGACGTATTCCGTGGCAGGTAGTTAAACGGTTAGTTAGCTGCAGTGGTGGGGTTGGTCGATTGGTGGAGTATAGTACTTGAAGTGGCTACGTCTGTCTGTTCATTTGTCTATTTAATGTCTTTTATTCATTGTCAAGTGTACGCTGAGTTATAATGAAATTTCCAGACAACAACAACAACAGCAACAAAATGGAAACTAATATCGTTTATTTAGTTGTATATTAACTGGGCCTGTTATTATTATGTGTGTGTCTTGTTATTGCAAAATTCAAGAAACCCACTTGATTACCAACTGCCAATACCGTTTCTATGCCATGTATTTATTGGAAATTGAAAACGAAAGCTTTGACTTCCTTCGGAAACTGTGCTGTGCACATTTTTAGGGTTTGTTTGAGAACGTGACATTTGAATATTGTGTTTTTTTTGTGGTATGGAGTGCCCTTTTTCGTGATATGACACAAGTGAAATTTTCACCACAATCCAAATAGGCATTAATACATATTTTGCATATTAAAAAAAGGTAGTCACGGTATTGCGTTACATACATAATTATCATAATTTATAGGCAATATTAACAAATCAATAGTTGTTATATAAAAAGAATGGAATGTGTGCATTCGGGTCACGGGCGATGGGGAAAGGTGTAGAGGGAAAATTAGAAAATAAGTTTTTTTTGGTTGGATAGTTCAAATAACCAGTAAAGAAGCCATCGTTAGATCATTTAAACGTTAAATTTAGATCATTTAGGAGACAAAAATTCAAGTCTTTCTAGGATTACAGGAAAAACCTAATAAAATATAAAAAGAGAGCTTAAAATAAATTTAAGACTTCATATCTTAAAGTAACCTAAATGGAGGACACAACTTCCCTCTTCTTCCACTAACAATGATTTTGACGGAGATCTCTCAAATTGAAAATTAAAATATGACACTTATTTTTTGCACATTTTTTTTGAGGCCACTTTGTCCCAATACTATTCTTATTCTAAACTATGTTTGTTAATATCTAAAACATACACATTAATTAATTGACTTTTGGAATCTACACAAAACCCACAGATGACAATTGCGTGCAATTGTTGACAATTTTGATTCTTCGACACACACGAGTGCCAAAACTTGAGTGGCAACATTAACTGGTGCACATAATAATAATACCGGGCTGGCATTAAAAACAAATAACATTTAATTTAAACATAAAAGCATCAACAACAATTTTGATTATTGTATGCAGATAATGAAGATCTCTGCTGCTCTGCTGTGACTAAGTGTTGTCTTCAACAAGAAATACTCAATGTTATTAATTTTACAATTGTTTTTTAGATCACTGGCAGAACGTGCATTTCGCTACAGCTTTGTGTAAACATGCTTGTTTGGAAAGTGTTCCAATTAAAAATTAATACCATAACATAACTGATAATCAGATTTATTTTTGTCTGTGATAAATAAATTTAGAAAATTTTATACCACGTTTGAGGTAAAAGTAGGAAGATATCGGTAATTGGTAGGCAAATTTAAGAGAGAATGGGAACAAATGATACTCTTTTTCAAAAAACTTTCAAAAATTCGGTCAAGTAAAAAACAGTTTCTGCTTGGCAGATATGTTAATTTTTAATATGTAAGACTCTAAACAGCATATTGATTAAACAATAATTACAAAAAAAAAAATAATAAATAAAAAAACAACCTATATGGGAAGGCGAGATTAAAATGTTCCTATATATCTTATTGATCCGATTTCTTAGTGAAGGTTGGACTATATGGACCAAATCCGTTTCAGGACATTTGGAGTCGATCTATATGTCCGTCCGTCCGTTTGTCTGGCTGGTGCGCACGATAACTCTCGAAGGGAGTATTCGATTTGGTCCAAATTTGGTGCATCGCAATATTATTATCAAACTTATCAAACCTTCTGGCACCTCCCACACAAATTGTCAACATTTTCAAAGAAAATAATTTACTGCACAGAAAGAGAAAGGATAATCCGATTTTGCTTCAACTTTGCAAACCTTAATATTTGCATCAGTGCTATGTCAGATGTGAAAATGGACAATATCGGTCCACTCCATCCAGAAAATTTGAATATCCATGAAGCTCATAAAACGACGATTCCTTCTGATACCTCCACCACAAAAGGTCAAAGTTTGGATACTTTTATCATTCATAACTTGTGCAACACGTCTCTCAACCAAAAAGCTGAAATGAATATGGAATTTATCGGAATTTATGATTTCGCATAAAATTGCATATAAATGTTCGATTTTCTTGTAATTTTGTCGATACCAATATTTTTATCTGTATTAGATGAAATATGAAAATAGGACACCTCGATTTTAAAATTTTCTAAAAATTGTCAAAAATCTCATATTAAGTGAAGGAAGTAACCAATATAGCCCGAACGCCGGTTCCAATACGAAATGGATAATATTGACCCATCGAATGAAGCTGGAATTTTGAATTTTTGTATTGGGGTCCCTATTGGTACTGCGTTTGTGATAAAGAGGCGGTTTTGCATATATGTGCTACAAGTGCCCGAAAAGTAATAAATTGTATTATAGTTAGTACAATTAGTGCTTGAAATTAGGTTTTAGAGTCGTAGTTCAGCCTGGACATATGGAGGCGATTTCGCAAATGTGTACTATAATTGTACAAAGAGTACTAAATCGTACTGAATTCGGTATTGGATGAAGGGATAGAGCTGCAATCCTGCAATTTAATATATGTCAATGTTGGTATCTAAAATTGAGATTTGGAGGTGGTTTCGGGAATGTGTACTAAGTTTGTACGAAAAGTAGTAAATTTGATAGGCCTAGAATTCTCAATTTTGATATTGAGGTCTCTGTTGGTATTTGGAACTGAGATTTGGAGTCGATTTTTTACTACATTTGTACAAAAAGTACTAGGTGGCACAAAATTTGGGAAGGGATAGTGCTGAAATCCCGAATTTTGGTATTGAGGTCTATGTTGGTACCTGGAATTGAGATATGGAAGTAGTTTTGAAAATGTGTACTATAATTGTACGAAAAGTACTAAGTGGTACTAAATATGGTATAGGGTGAAGGGATAGAGGTGGAATCACGAGATGCGACACTGAGATCTCTGTTTGTATCTGGTATTGATAGCTGGCGATGGTTTTCCAAATGCATTATATAATGGTATAAAAAGTACAAAATGGTGCAAATTTTGGATTACAGTGTTATTTAATTATTATTTAATTAATTATTAATTATTAGTTATTTATGGTATTGAGTGAAGGGATAGGGCTGACATTCTCAAATTTGATATTGAGGTAATTGTTGGTTTCTAGGTGTATACATGGTACAATAAAAACGCAAGGTAGCTGATTACAATATATTTCTATTGTTTTTTTTAATTTTTTTTTCTGTTATTTTCAAAATCATTGATTGGAAGAAACATACATTGCGAGGCGCGCAAGTTTTGCCATGGTATTGAAATATGGAATTGTTTAGATCATTTTTTTGAAAGAAAATCTAGACATATCATTTATTTCTTCCCGCTGTTTAACTGATTTAAAAAATGAGGCAAAACATTGAATAAGTGAAAACAACTTGTTGCATGCAAATTTGACAGGAAGCGGGCGTAGCCTTAGGTCTGTATTTCTGTAGCTGTTGGGTGTATAAAGCCAGTAGGCAGGTTAAGTTCATAAATGGGCCATGTCGGTTCACGTCTTCGTATAGCCCCCATATCTCCCGATATTATATATTTTGTTGATTTCTGCTACATTTTTTACCGGAATTGTTTCAACTTTTGTATTTAAACTTCGTAATGGGTATTATAGCCTATGACTGAATGCAGGTATGCAGGCCGCTTCTTCTTATAGCCCCTATATAATTATTCCACCCTATACCGGGTATTTTGATTTTAGCGGCATTATTCACCGGAATTGTTTAAAATTTCGTATTTGAAGTTCGGAATCGGTGCTACAGCCTATGACAAAAAACCTCGTCTTCGTATAGCCCCATGAAAGGGGTATATAAGAGGTATTTTCTACGGATTTTTTTTTTTGAAATGGTGGAAGGTATTAAAAGTTCGGCACTGCCGAACTTAGCTGCTTTTTTACTTTTTTCATTTTCCTATTAATTTAATCTAATCGGGTTTATTCTCTCAACACCCCCTACCCCCTTCATGGATTTTCAAATGCCGCCAAATATGTAGAATTCAAAAGAAACTTGTCTCTGTCGTCATTCAAATGTCTCGTTGGTCAGTGAAATCTTGGCAATGTTTATTGTCGCTTAATTTTTTTTCAATTCAAAATAAGACAATTTTCAAATTTTCTATTTTTTGGACTTCTCTTTACTTTCTTCCCCTCCTTGCCTTACTTACCTTCATTGTGATGCAGTTGCGATGAAAAAAGAATCCTTGTTTGCGATGCTTTTTTTATCAAAAAATACAAATAGTTCAACAAATGGAAATCAGATGAAAGTTGCAGTTGTAGAAAAAGTGAAGTTGTTTTGTTTTCAATTTAGACAAACGAAAGAAGGATATCATCAAGTGAAAATGAAGAAAATTAGAGAAAAGTAGTAGTCAAGCGGTGTTGCTGTTGACGCTGTTGACGGACGGAACGACGAACAACAATCTAATTCAACAACACATAAATGAAGATTAAAATTGCTATCAAATAAATAATCACATCAATCAACTTCATGACACCCGATGTGAAGTGGCTTCCAACACTTTTGAATGAAATTAAATATTTTTTTGTTCGTTTTTGTTTTTCTTATTTGGATTTTAATCCGTAAATCCCGCAATTTTTTTGTAACGGTTACTTTTTCGCAATTGTAAGAGTTGTTATTTTCCCGCTACAGCGACACCGTCGTCAGTTCAATTAGAAATTTCAAAGCCAACTGACTGAAGTGTGGACACCAGAATGTAACCAAAGCTCGAATGCGAAACTCGGCTGCAAACCGGCTCCTCTAGCAGCAGAAAAAAACCAACATTGCATGGAAACTCTTTGGCCATGGTGGTACAATCACACGCACGCACTCACTCTCTCACTCACTTTGGGAAACACTGCGCATGTGCGCCGTCTTTGGCGGACCATGTGCTGTTTTTTTGTGTTTTTGGGAAAGGGAGGGCACGAGACGCTCGTACACCATACGTGGTGGTGGTGTACTGCAAATGAAAGTGCTGGTCAAGCATGGATTTTCAAATGACTCGGTTCGCTTCTTTTTGTGGCATGTAAACGTGCCTCATGCACATAACAACAACAGCCAGCAACAAAAACAACACTGATGATGATGTGATGATGATGGCTTTTAGTTGGAATAGAAGCCGTCAAGTTGCCATGGCTTGGCCTAACAATGGCAAACAAATATTTGAAGAAAACAGACAAAAAACAAATGTTGTTTTGATTTTGATTTCGATTTCAATTAAACTTGGACAACCCCTTTTAGCATTGTTTGGCTTTCGGTCCGAAACAAGAAAATTGCAAATTGTTCATGTGATAGTGGCCTATAATTGGGAAAAGAAACAAAAAATGAAAATGTGGACAATTACAATTGTGTTTGCTAACTCCTCTAGCATTGGCTTTGTCCGACCGGCACCTTGTTTATTTTTATTATTTTCTTTTTTTTTATTTTGGTAATACAGATTACCCAACACTGGCGGCAAATAACATAATTCATCAAATTAAACTAGATTGCCCTGGAATAATTTGGAAAATGTGTAAAATTTTTTTATAGATGTCTAAGGTCATTTTTTTGACCACCTTGAAAAAAATTATTTTACTTTTTTACATTTTTCAATAATTGTTGCTGTGTTTTATTCGTGATTTGGTAACAAGTTGATTTTTAATTCGGACCCAAAAATGGGTTCAAAAGTTAAAACTAATAATGAAATGTATTTTTAAAACCCTCAGCCAGAGGGTATATATCATTTGATACGGCCAAAACATGCATCATCAAAATAACGGTCTTACACCTTAGGTCTCTTTGGACTAAATCCGTTTCAGGCCATTTGGAGTTGATCTAGGGAAGTCCATCCGTCCGATCTGTCTGTCTGTCTGGCTGGTGCGCACGATAACTCTCGAAGGAAGTATCCGACTGGATCCAACCTTGGTAGATCGTCATATTATTGCCAAATTTAGATTGAGTTCGGAGATGGGCAATATCGGTCCACTACTTCTGGTAACTCCCCCACAAAATGTCAACATTTTCAAAGAAAATAATTTACTGCACAGAAAGAGAAATGATAATCCGATTTTGCTCCATCTTTGAGAATCCTAATATTTCTATCAGTGCTCGGTCAGGTGCAAAAATGGACAATATCGGTCCACTCCATCAAGTACCTCCCCCACAAAGGGTCAACATTTTGAATAATTGCAACTCTTATAAAATGTGATATATGACACATTCCAATAATTTTATTAACCCAAGGTCTGTTGTTATGGTGGAGTGTATCGGTCCACTCTTTCTGGTACCTCCCCCACAAAAGGTCGAATTTTTTTAAAAAAATATATATTTTCTACACAGAAAGAGAAATGAGAATCCGAATCCAAACTTCGTAAATCCAAATATTTGCGTCAGTTCTAGGTCAGGTGCGAAAATGGATAATATCGGTCCACTCCATCAAGTATATCCTCCACAAGGGGACAAAATTCGGAACAATTATAACTCTTAAAAATGTGAAATAAGACCCCGGTTATCTTCAAATCACACACTTCACAATATTTTTATTAACCCAAGGTCTGGTGTGAAGAAGAAATATATCGGCCCACTCCTTCTAGTACCTCCCCCACAAAGGGTCAAAATTTTGAATAATCATGAAGCTCATAAAACGCGAAATTGACATCCGATTCCTCTCCGACTTGGCACATCTCAAAATTTCTATCAACACAAGATTTTTAATAAATATGGTAAAGATTGGACCATTCCATCTGGAACCTCCCCCACCAAGGATCAAAGTTTGGAATAACCAAACCGATTATAAAATCCGAAATAAGCATCCGGTTCTTATCATATTTCACACATCCCTTTATTTCTACTAACACAAGATCTGCTGTGAAGATGGAATATATCGATCCACTTCTTCTGGTACCTCCCCCACAAAGGGTCAAAATTTGGAATTTCTACGAAGCTCATAAAATACGAAAATGTCATCCGATTCCATTCAGACTTGGCACATCTGAATATTTTTATCAAGACAATATCTCTTATAAAGATGGTAGAGATCGGACCATTTCTTCTGGTACCTCCTCCACACAGGGTTAAAGATTTTGAAAAACAAAACACTCAAAGAAGAGGCGAATTAAGCATCCAACTCTCTTCTAATTTCACACATACAAATATTTTTGCTAACGCAAGATCTCTTGGGGAGATGATATATATCTGCGAAACCCTTCTGGGTGACAAGTTTCAATACTTTTAACTGTCACAGCGTGCGAAACAAATCAGCGACCTTCAAATACGAAATTTAAAACAATTCCATTGAACAATGTCCGTAATATCACCAAAATATCGAAAAAGGGAGGTATAGTTATATATGTTATATAGGTATAGTTATGCAGGGTGAGATGAAAAGAACTGCAACAAAGCCAAACGCCATAATTTTTACATTTTATTTTAAATTTTATTGAATTAAAGCAAACAATTTCGGAAATAGCATCAAATTTTATAATAAATTTAGATTTATTCGAATTGGTCACCTTTGGCCGGAATTATGGCCTTCAAACGGCCAATGAAACCGTCACACGCTGCCCGAATGTTGCTCTGCGGTATTTTGGCCTAATCCCGGCGAAGCGCTTGCTTGAGGTGATTGACACTTTGGTATTTTTTTAGTGCCAACGTTGCTTTCCAAAATACTCCAGACACAATAGTCCAACGGATTGGTATCCGGAGATTTTGGTGGCCATTGAGCGCTGGAAATGAAGCGAGGAACCTCATTTTGTAATCATTCTTAGGTGGTGCGTTCTGAGTGCGATGGTGCTGAGTACTGTTGGAATGTCCCGGATCTGCGGCCAAAATGTTTGCGTGCCCAAGGCTTTAATACACCATCCAGAATATTTTCGCGATAATATTCGGCATTTATTCTGATGCCACGGTCGATTAATACGAGCGGAGAGCGACCATCGACTGTTATGGCGGCCCACACCCTCACCATGGCCGGCACTTGAGTTCTGGTGGCCAACCGAAGGTGCACATTTACAGCTGACCTCTTTGGCAAGTAAACACGATAATTTTGTTTGTTTACAAACTGCTGGACAAAGAATGTTTTCTCATCTGAGAAAACCATATTCGGCAGTTCACCACTTTCGGCCAGGCGAAGCAACTCTTTAGCTCTTTTGAGTAAAGTTCCAATCTGTTGCGGTGTAAGTTCTTGCACTTTTTGGAATTTCAATGGCTTTACCCCGAGCTCATTTTTCAATATTTGCCGAATGGAATATTGCGATATGTTCAGCTCACAAGCCATTTTTCGGCCACTGCGACTCGGGGTTCGATAAAATCGCTCCCTTACTTTTCGAACTATTTCTGCTGATGTTGCTGTTTTCTTCCGTCCACTTCCTTGACGTCGGCCTACGCTACCAGTATAACGTTAACGAGCGATGGTACGAGACACAAAAGATTTATTCACAGTTAAATGCTGGAGTGCTCTAACGATAGCCACTTGTGGCTTTCCAGCTGAATATAAAGAAGTCACACTATCACGCTTGATCTCCATCACGAATAACTTTTTTCTGGAAAATTCTCACCAAAATGCTTTTGTACGCTTATAAACAATATAATGAGCTGTCACTGGAATAATTTTAACTGCTGTCGGACGAGTGGCTTAGAAATGACAGCAGTCTGAAGTTGGTTGCAGTTTTTTCATCTCACCCTGTATATAAGAAGACGTAGCTAAATCGTCTTAGAATTTTGATCTCATTATATCTGATTAAGAATATATATACTTTGTTAGGTCTGGCATAAGTATTTCGAGAAGTCACAAAAAAATATATGTCCTCCAGAGCATGGTGGAGTGTATAAAAAGTAGTCTCTGGAGAAACAACCCTACCCATTACTAGTACTAATACATCTACAAAGCGTGACAACCACCTGGAAAACTTTAATTAATTGCCTTTGTGGCTCTGAAAATTGAGTTACTATCCCTCAATTTCACTGTATTCCAATAACATCATGTTCCAATCTCTTACCCTATCAAAATAACTGGCAGTGTACAAAAATACTAGCACTTATTATTTCTCCTTTTTGGCTTTAATTCCCTGTGTTTTTTTTTCTTCTTACCCTGATTTATGGTTCCAGCAATTGCTGCAGAGGAAGAAGCATTTCGTTTGGCAAACAAATGAGTTGGTATCAAAAAACGACGAAATCAAAACAAAAGACTTAAGACACATACTTGGTATGCTGGTCACTAGAGCGATTGAGCGAGCACCTGTTCGCTGGCCATCCTTCCATAATATTCGCGATTCATTTGTAGTGATTTTTACCATATAAAGTCATTTGTACCAGGCGAACATGTTCCAGGCAACAGATGTTGACCACAGCTGGCTGCGGAGCATAGGAACGTGGCGCATGTATTTTCATGTTTCTCTTTTTTGCTGGTGGCGCCTGGAATATGCTGCCGCACAGGAATTGTATCTATACAGCCGGGCTATTTGAACATTCTTGTCACTTCGTACAGCCAATCCCCTCACCTCACCTTGCCTTAGTATTAAATACTTTACAACTACCAGGCGAATGATGGAGTGGTAAAGAGAGAATAAACATATTTTGATACAAGTAAAAGGGGAAATGGAGAGAGGGAGAGAACGAGGAAGGCCTAACATATATACACGTGACAGACATCTTAATAGACATGTTTGAATTCTCCTGCCGCAGATTATCCCATAGCGATCATTGTGAATAAAATATGTGGAGATTAGGCCAATGTAATTCATGTTTTTTGTAAGTCTTTATTGGCTTCTCTTTCTTCAACGAATTGGTGGTTAAGCACAGAATTGTTATGAACTGTTTACATGACATTTGTAACACTTACCCCGTATAA